AAAGGAACCAATGCGACGCAGTAAAGCAGAGATTTTTCCCCCACGGAAAAACGTGATAATTGAGGCAAATACAGTAGAAGCTGTCTAAGACCGCCACCCTTTGTTGAGATATTAGACAGGTGGCCGTTTCACACAGTATTATAACAATATAAACATACACAAGGGGAGAAATAGAAAGTGGTCGTTTGTACATGTGGTTGTCTTATACAGGTGAGCATTTGAGCAGGTGGTTGTCTTATACAGGTGACCGTTTGCGCAGGTGGTTGTCTTATACAGGTGACACAGGTTCAAATGTATTTAACTCTTTAGGGGCGTAGCCGACGCATAACTCTAATCAGCAGCGCACCACAGGCAATGTTACAGTGGGCCAACATTTCCAACCGTTATACAAAAATTAGACAAATAAATTTGTATATTATTTCATAGTATGCAAGTTGTTACCTGCTTTTTAAGTTTGAGATAAAGAAAACACAGTCGAAACACAGTTTTATTTTGTTTTAATACGAGTTTTTCGGCACTTGCAACACAATAAGGTCATATAAATGCTGAAGACTAGGGGTGTTGCCAGAGAGTAACAAACACACACAAAAAAGAAGGAGGGCAGATGAAGACGACAGATGTTTGATAGGAAAGAAGGAGCAAACAACACTAGAGCACCTGCCAACCACTCGCAAATGGAAATACAGTGAACATACCTGTATCAATAACAAAGTTAATAACTATTATGCTTCTTTTTAAAAATACCTCCCAATCAGCGCGTCATCGAGTGTCGTCCGATAGCCAGAATGCAAGGCCTCAATAATATTGTTTTCGTTTGTTTTTAGCAAGAGTTTTACAGCACCTGTAACACAGTTAGGTCATAGAAGTGCCCAAGGGTTCTCAGTGAGTTAACGTTAGGTGTGTCAAACCAACCACCTCGCGAAAATAGTCGAACGTGTTTCTTCACGCAAGACCGCAAACGTCGCAGTTGAAAGTCGCACTTTTATCTGACTCCCTCTGACTTCTTTACAAATGCAACAACACTATAGAAGCAAAATTCAAAACCAAAAGCAAAACCAAAACTCATAGAACGCGAATCAAATAAAAAGAAAAGACGAAGCAAAACATAAGCAGTGTAACTATACCCACCAACTAAACATTGAATCATTGATACCTCCGAGTTGTATTTATTACATAAGTTAGAACCGAGACAGCGCATGTATAGAAGTATCGGGTTCAAACCCTTGTGTTGTTCGTTTGGTACACGTTGTAACAAGTTTTCTGAACATGCCGTTTTCGTGAAACCAGAAGCTGGATATTTTTTTTTTCTCCAGAAAGATTTTTTTCCAGCGATTTGTTAACAATCTTGTGTGTGTGTGTTTGTGTGTGTGTGTGTGTGTGTGTGTGTGTGTGTGTGTGTCTGTGTGTGTGTCTGTGTGTGTGTTTGTTTGTGTGTATGTGTGTGTTTGTATATAAATATATGCGTGTGTATGTGTTTGTGTTTGTATGTATATGTGTGTGTTTGTTTGTGTGTGTGTATAAATATATGCGTTTGTATGTTTTTGTTTGTGTGTGTGTGTGAGTGTGTGTGTGTGTGAGTGTGTGTGTGCGTGCGTGTGTGTGTGTGCTTGTGTGTGTCTGCGTGTGAGTCTGTTTTTCTTGTGTTTTTGCGTATGTATGCGTACCTAAGGTGTATAATTATGTGAGTATGTGTATGTGAGAGAGGGGACATGGTGGGTTGTTGGTCTTTTTTTTTTTT